AGAACAGCTAACGTCCTGGCTGATATCACTTCGAATATTAATCAACATCCGCCTATCTTCATCATATGTTCAGACGACAGTTACGGTAGGGATTCGATCAAATAATTCGAAACATATACTTGATATGATCGTTGATATGAAATGACCTGACTGATGAAGACCAAATACTCGAAACATGCTGTGACTGGGTACTGATAAAATTAATTCGAGTCTCTACTTCTGGGAAATAAGAGGCATCTGCAAGGATAGCGAGAAATGTTTTAATTTTCTTCAGAATATCGGGTTTCCTGGTATATCTAGTGGATTGAATCAGATATCATTTCTTCATTTTCAGAAATACGTAATCAGTATCACAATTTGCATGATTTGTGTACAGGGATTAGTTATTTGAAGTAAACCTAAGGCTACGGTCGCGAAAATCGCGACGGCCGAGCGATGTCGAACGCGGGGCGGTGCGGCGCGTGGCGATGAGGAGAAGTATCTTGCGTGGGCATGAAACTTCGGCCGTGCTGGATTAGAGTTGTGAGCAACACGTCATCGTAACACAAGTTTACGTCGAAGTGAACTATTGGAGCCATGTCTAATAATGAGAACTGAGTTATCATTAACTTCATTCAATAAATGAAGAAAGAAGTCATTTTGGCCAATTTTCTTCCCTTCATTACGAGCTAAAGTGAATATTTTTACTGTCTCATAAAGCAGGTTTTGACAAAATACACGAGATAAATTCTTCATTATCAATTTCCATTTCNTTCAAAGCAACCATTTCGAGCATCTTCTGAACTGACCTCCAAGCTCAATACCTCATTTTATGTAGTTGAATGTCAATGTATTCAGGCAATTATTAAAAGTTCCGTCATTTTGTAGTAGTTGAATATATTGACAATATGTTCTAGGATTATGAAGTATTCATCAGGAGCTTCAAAATGGTGTATCACCCCCCTTTCGTTTCAATTTTTTCCCAGATGGCGCCCAGTCGCCATCTTGAAAGTTTCATCTGTTAATTTCACTTCAAAATAAAGTATTCATGCAGTGATTTCATTGTCTCAAATATCAATTTTTTGAGTTGACCCATTCAAAAAATAAAAGGAGGGGAGACATTAAAGAAAAGCACTGTATATTTTCAATGGACTGAAAACCATTTCATCTTTTCATTATCATATCTGATTCTTTTTGCAAAATTTGTAAGTTTCCAAAAAAATTGTTGCCAATCGGTTTCCAATTAAATGAATTCTGATGGTTGTAACTTTGATATTCTCGGAACATTACTGTTACAAATTATATTCCTTACCTCGAAAAAGGTCTAATAATCATTTTCAAATATTCATGAAGCCAGATTGGTGGTGGTTTATAAATCAAAATAGAACACAACATCAACACTCACTTATTACTAATTATCATTAAACGCGCTAGATGTACAATTTTATCAATTTATTTATGAATGAGTAGAACTAATACATATTTGCATGATGAATAATAGTTATTTGTGGACCGGAAATCTGGTCGCGGTGGAGGGATCAATAATTCATTATTGAACGTTGAACTAATAGATTTGGTGCCTGATATAATAAACTCTCTGAAAGACTCAAACATGAGGAAAATGTAACAAAACCTATGTTTCAAGAGAAAATTATTGGCAAATCCAATATTGTCCCGCTCTATTCTTCTTCTTCTGCACCCTTCTTGTCCTGTTTCACTTCTACTTCTTCATCATTTCCTTCCTTCCGGCCCTTTCTTATCACTTTTCATATCCCCCTTTATTCTCCTTATCACACTATTCCCTCTCATCAACTCCAATTCTGAAGTTTCTCCTTAGTGTATTTTTTGAAACTTTTCAGTGTTCCATATAATTTTGAATTATTATTTTCAAATGTCAATGTCAATGATATTCTAGGTATTTCTATGTAATAAAGATTCATACGAAGGAAAAGAAATGTCGAAATATTTGCAGTGTGACTCAAATATCGATCGCGAATGTAGATGTTCAGTTAAATGAGATCGTCATGCAGAACGAAACATATAAGTTTTCTACTGAATTTTCAAATGAATGTTATTTACGCATTCCAAAGTTGCATACATTTTAGCCTAGAAGACTAATGTGTATCTTCTGATAGAGTGTTTAACTGAAATGAAGAATTCTCCCCGCAAGTGAATTCCAGTTTTCGACCCATGTTCGGTTTTCGATTCGTTTGCATAGTAGGTATTTCTACCGAGCATGTTATCGGAATGACATGTGATTCGGTGAATTGTTCAGCCTGAATTGGCCTAGGCTTGCTTTATCCATTAGAGTGTTCCCAGTGCAACTGTTGGAGTGGTTTTCATTGCTTCCATTATTTCCAAGCATTTCCCTGATTATTCCATCAATAGTGGTTATTCATTTCATCTTTGGCCATCAGATCACAGATGTATATGTAATCATGAGTTTGACCAACATAGTGTAGAGCCAATACTTATTGTCTGGTATATCGTTCCGTAAATGTGTTTAGCCACCAGCAGTAATACATCTGCTTTTCTTTTCACCCTTTCTATATGCTGTTTCAGGTCAACCCGAGATCTGCTACCACTCTCAGATATTCAGCCTTCTCTTTACCACGAAGTTTTGGAGGTCATATGCCCTTTGTTTTGATTCTCTTGGTGATTGCTACTACGGCCTTGTTTCTCCTGTTTTTTCATTGGTCCATATAGTTATAATATTCGATGCTTGCCACAAGCGTCCCTTCACTATATCATGATATTTATCATGGACAAGGATGACTGAGTCGTCTGCATAACCCATTATGGTCCAGAAGACGTAGTAACTCGTCCATTTAAAGGTTCCATAATAGTGGGGCCAATATCCTACTACCCGTGCCACTACTCTTTTTTCCATAATGATTATATACATACCAATCTTTCTCCAAATATGCATTCAATTATCTGCAACTTATGTTGTCGATCCCTCTTCTCTGTGACGCCTGGGTGATTAACGTCATTCATGCTCCCTATTTCATAGGATAAGTTGCTCAAAGTACTTGTAAGCATATTCTCCTTTTTTCGTGACCAGAAACAATGCCATTTTTGTCGGCATACCTATTCTGTACGTTGCAGTGGTCTAGTAGCCAGTGCTGTATCCATAATATGCCTGAAGATTAGTATAAAAAGAAAATGACATGAAAATGTTCAGTTTCAAGGACTTCGTCCTATCCTGTTCGATTTTCCCAGGTTTCGGAATAAAGGTGACCCTGATCAATCTACATGTTTTTAGTATGTATCCCAGAGCCACACTTGATCTAAAGAATACACACAATTATTCGAGTAAAAGTTTAGGTTTGAGATCCATTTGATTTTTTCCAAATCTACAACCTTCTTTGCCACTAGCAAATGTTCTCTGGATATTCTTTTAGCGGCCTTCAGTTCTGAATCCTGTACACCGGGGTTAAATTGGTTATTTCTAACCCTGGAATGCTATCGTGTAAACTTAGGAAATCCCACTGAATCCAGTGAGCCTCACAAGTACACCATACTTGGGGACTCAGATCGATCTGCATAAGACAAGTTATTTTTTCATTTTATCCGATTCTTCAGAATCCAAGCTCCCGTTGAGGTATGCATTCGTTCTCTGCAATATGCTGGCTTCCGTTTTTTTCATCTTTCGGCAGTACTTGCATTGACCAAAACAGTATACGAGTACTGTAGAGTTCTGTAGAAATCTCTTCAGCCTCCTTGCAACCTGAGCCCTCAGTCTCTTGACTGTAATCAGTACTCTTATTGAAACGATGTCATTGTTGGTAATTTCGCTCGACTTTTCCTAAAGTTTTGCTGAAACAGTCTTTGGTCTCTTCGATTGTAGGACGCATTACAGCAGATAATGAAATATCCTGGAGTTTCGCAAATTAGTTTCTACAAAAAAAAATATCAATAACGTACCTAAATTATTACATATTATCGGAGATCAAACAACTTTGATCTTCCTCTTGAAGATGATCACTTGGTGATTGAAACGCATGTCGAGGTGTTAAAATAACGGTTTGGTGTTGGGAAAAAACTTCAGTAATATTCATTGCTACACCAAACGTTCCAAATAGTGATCACAAGATCATAAGATTAAACAATTGAAAATTTTTTATAAAAAAATGATGGTAATTTCCTGAAATTCGTTAGATTTTCTATAGTTTAGCTATAACGACACCAATTACTACGTTTATCTGTTAAACAGTCATTCTTATCCATTTGTAATAAGAGTACACTTCGCAAATCGGAAAACATTTGACGCTATAATTCAAATTTGTTTATTTAAAAGTAATTTTAAACTTACTTGCAGCTAGTGTCATATTCCATGATTTATTGAAAATTTGATACTTTGTTTTTTTATAACTGACTCAAATTACAGCACACGTTAGTAGGAAAAAATTAAGTTATCGCTTATGTTTTATATCGAACATTTTCAAAATGTTCTTGCTGGACTCAAATGTCCTTCAAGAACAAGCCTGCGATGACACCTCCCTTTTCGAAGACACCATCTATAAAATCAACAGAAGAATTATACCACGAATATTAATGAAGAAAGAGTCTTCCAAAGACCGTCCGTTACAACATCGACCGCCGAACGAGATTCGTCCTCTGATTCAATCACGAATGGATTGCACCCAAAGATGATCCATTGCAAAACCAAGCTTTGACATTACCGTGTTTATTTCTACAGCTTTCACAGTTCTGAGCCTCTGGTTTCAACTATAGTTGCTTTGCAGTAAAATATCTAAAGAAAGACATAAAACAAATCTCGTTTAACCAACGGTATCCAAACTTGGCTAGAAATTCATAGATTGAGCTTCGTGTTGATCCAATAGATGGCGTTTTCATATGGGATTACGTCATAGCCTTTTCTTCATACTTAAATTGGATAGTTTGAAAGTATTGAATAGATTTATTTCACTACCTAGTTTTGATGAATTTTAAAAATGGGTTCTGTTACATTTTCCTCCTCACTTTCGGCGGACCAGATTAATCACTATCCCACCTAGGTTGGCGTAGGGGTCAGGAACCCGACCTCTTGGACATCCTTCTACCGGAAGGCGACGATTACAAGCTGGTGTTCATCAACTCGGACAGTTCCTCCAAGGAGGAGATATCCTCCAAGGAGGAGGACGACAATGACAGTTCTTCGACCGCATCCAGTTTTCCGATTGACGAATGTGACTGGGACTATTTTGAGCCGGGCAGCGGGAGACCATCCGCCGTCATCAATTGGTCGTCGCCCTTTGGCTCTCCTAGGGTGTACAGGAGGGGAGTCCTAGAATCGCCCATTGGATCGCCGTTGGTGTACAGGAGGTGCGTGTATTTGAGGGAGAAGTCAGTTTTTGGTTTGAGGCTGGTGAATATAAATTATGTATCGACACTGATATGTTACTTGATGAAAATTAATAACACTATTTATAATAATAATTCAGAAATTTCCACAATATGGATTTCAAACAATTAGTTTCTTCAGTTGAATTGATACTTCAAACTAGGTATTCTATAATGCAATTAATACAACAGTATTTACAGAACTTGATAAGTTAATGATTGACATGTCAGAAAAACAGTTAGATTTCAATAAAATGTAATTACAATACAATAATAATTAGAGTTAGTTGGTAGGTTAATTTAACCGAAATGTGGTTGATAACAATTGATGTTCGAAATTTTTTGAAAACATTTTTGATAGTGATGAGCGATTAACCTCTTGTTGATGGTTCAATATGGAATTTGATTGTTTTCCTTTATTGATTTTCAGAAAATTCGATTAAGTTTTGTCCTTTATTTTCTATATGTATTATGTCGAAATTGTGGTTATTCTCTAAATGGTGACAAGCGTAGGTGGAATTGGTCTTATCTTGTTTAAAACTTATTTTATGTTCCGAAATTTTTGCTTATAATTTTTCAGACGTTCTTCCTTTATGAACTTTTGGCCACGATCCACATATTAGCTTGTGGACACCTGATTTGTTGTCCTTGTCACTGTTTGACAGGTTGATAATATGTCTTTCCAATGTATTACCAGTGTACTGTTTCTTGTTAAGAATGTGATGAATCATGTTCGGGTTGAGATTGTTTTTACCTGCAATTTGCTTATAGAATTCAGTTCCCTGCCAAAATTATCTGTGGACATCGGGAATAGTTACTGATAGCTGAGTCTGAATGGGTTAGTTTGTGGTAAATTGCCCAATCACGTTTGTTGTCAATTTTTAAAAAATTGTGAGGTCTATAAGGTTCATAAAGAAAATAACGGAAGAAAATAAAACCTTATGGTATTACTAAAAATCGATGAACGAAGACAATAAAATTTCTCGTCAAACGATCAACAAGAAATTTATAACTCACCCGTATTGAAGTTGCTCTCATAAAATTACGAAAGTTGATCGTTATTAATTACTCATTGTTTAGAATTCATCCTCTTACCTAGAATCAATATTGTAATAAAATTACAATTTTGAATCTACATATTCCTTAGAATTATCATTACTAACTGATAAGTTCTGTAACTAGTGTTGTGAAAATGCATTCTGAAATAGTTCAATGTCCCAGTTAAAATGAAGAAGTTAGTGTGTAGTAAAACGCATCTCGGGCAAAGTTCATAACGGGACAATTGTATCATAAATACATAGAATTATTTATTCATTCATTTATTTATATAGATGTAGCTTTCTTTTGTCTAGTACCACTACCCTTCCATATGTGTACGAGTGTGTGAACAATTTATACAGATAGACTGATGTTAACGTCAGGATATAGTTTTTGAAGAACGTGTTTCTGAACGTTTGTGTTCAGTTTAAAAGTTCTGAAAGTAATGCTCATTTACATAGTCTCCATTGAGAAAAAGTTTGTGATCTAGCTCAGGGTCAAGGAATTTATCGTATGATAAATTCCAATCTAATTTAGTAAAGCTTTTCACTCACGGGGCAGTTTTTTTTGCTCTCAGCTTGAGTGAGTGAAATCATTTATTCTTCTAATTTGGTTTTGAAATGGACAATGCCAGTGACAAGAAAGATGTTATTATGATTTATCGATACCAGCTTATTACAAAAAGTCGTGATTAAATTAAATAAATAGTTGATAAATATTGAATATGGAAAGACTGAAGAGTATTTTAATCTAACGGAAATACTCCCACACCAAAACTGTAACATTTTTTGACGCACCTCGCACTAACCACATTGGCATGATCATTAAATCCTTTTTTCTAGATATACAATGATATAAAAGTCAGAAAGCCAAATGAAATATACTTTCGAAGAAGGTAGTTTTAAGGAATATTTTCGGTTGAACCCCTCTACAAGGGACAGATGTTACTGGGAAGGAGGCCTAAAGAGCTCATCATTTTGGAGTAATCTCAGTAGATACCCTAATTCAGGGGTTTCCAATTTTATTCAGTCATGGAACCCTAATTGAGCATACAGTTTTTGACGAAACCCTAATAGCTGGTTATTTCGATCACTAAAGTGTTAACATGGGATTTTGAATATTTTCATGTTAGGACTCGAAGAAAAAAAAATTTTAGATGAAAAATAGTTATTGTTATCAAACAACTATTTAATGTGAAGAATGATTTTTTTTTAAAACAATATATTCAAGAGAACATTTCTAGAAGAAAGGGCTGTTTGGCAGTTTTCAAATTGAAACCTTGTACAGTATGGGATACTGATCTAAACTAGTATATTTTGGATGTGTTATTCAACTTGTAAATAGTCCAATAAGAGTTACAAAGGTTTACATATGTCAAAATGTTCTTAAATAGAATAGTTGAGTCAATATAACACTGAACAAACGTACTAAAACTTCCAACCGACCATCCTGTTTGAAATTAAAATTAACTGTGAACTTTGGACTGAAATTTGTATATTCCTTAGCCCTATAAGTTTTGTAGACTATGAAGCTAAATCCGATAGAATGGAAAATCTACTTCAAACTCTTTCTCACTGATTTTTGTGACTGTCTTTTAATCGGCCAGGCGTTCACACAAAATTAAACTCTGTAATCAATTTCCCCTGAGCCCACAATTTCATTCAGTTGATTAATTCGAAGAAAACGTCTGTCAGAAAAATGAAATCCATCGGCAAATCTAAATCCTGATCCTGAATCACTCCACTAATGAACAAAAGTTTTTGATGGAACATCGAACTTGGGATCTCTCATTTTCACAAAGTTCGTTAAACATATTTAGGACAAGGCCTAATCTACTGGGGTACAAAAAGCTTATGATCTGTTGCTAATGAATTACAGTGAATCCCATGAAAATTATTTTTTCCAACAAGGATATGATTCAACTTGAGAGTTTTTGTTCAACACTTTTAAACGTTCGTGGTTTGCACCAAAAATACAGGTAATACGTATTTCATGAACAAGAAGAAATGTCATCGCCTTTATCTACTCAGGCTTGTCAGTTGAATCAAGCAATGCATTCGTGGTTTCAGCCTAGCACAACTGATGAGGTGCTGTGGCGTGTCGAAACAACGCTCCCTGGTATTGGACCATGAATGATTCGCTTTGGGCTCTAATGTTTATCGAATACAAAATAGTTACCAGATATTCTAATTGAAGTGGTGTGCCATGAACAACCAGATATAATAATAATAATAATTTTATTGCTTCTAAAAAACGGGTTTACAGCAAGAAGTATGCGTGTGTGAGAATAAATTACACTATTTTTTGAAGAAAATTTACGCAAAAAATAGCAATGGTCATCACCTTGTCTTCTGATTAGGCAATATTAATTGCTTCCTGAGCCACCTATGAAGCATTATGGCCATTCGTAGTACCGTCAGATATACAATGTAGCACGATCAATTCAAATAGAAAAATTCTCCTGAGAAAAATATCTGGTCGAATGTTTGAATGAAGTTGAGATTGTTTCTAAAGAATGTTACAAATTCGGGCTTTCATTATTTGAAAATGATTTTACACATTTGAAATCTATGGAAGGAAAAAATGAATTGAGAATTTATGAAATATTATCATTATCAGAAATTCTGCAAATAACTGACCGAAATATTCGGATGAATTAGTTGGATCATGAGTAATGTCAAAAAATGGAACAAAAAATATGGGTGTGAGATTGAGAAATTGCAAGACGCTGATTTGAAAAGAAAAAGTATGATGACCTGAAATGGAAAGAAATTATTAAATGCAAACAATAAAGTTTTGAAATAGATGAACATTTCAATCTAGCAGACCGCTATTATAATTTTCATGCAGTCATTGTTCACTGTGGCTCTGGCGTTGAATCTGGTCATTATTACGCATTGGTCAAAGACGAAACGGACTGGTTTAAGTTTGACGATAGTCGTGTCACGAAGTGTTCTGGCGATGTATTCAATTTATTGGAGCCTCTGGAGACACACTACATTTTGTTCTATGAGAGGATATTAGCAGATCAAGATCTTCAGATCATATGGTGCTGCAGGTTTTTCCGGGTTTTCCTGCAGCTAAAAAAGCAAATACGACACTGGAATCAATGAAGTCCGCCCGGAGCGCCAATTAATTGTTGTTGCTATTTTATAATTTCATGTTTTGTATTGAAAAGTTATTTACAAAGTTATTACTGAATTACGGAAGAAAATAATCTAAATGTATTTTGAAAAAATGCAAAAATAATTGAAAATGAGGAAAAAATGGTCCACAGTGAAACTGGCTTAAATTGACTTTTGTGAAATCTATTTTCCGGGTTTTTTGACCGTGGTCAGCAGGTTTTTATGCCTGGAGAAAATAAAGTGAAGGTGTTTGGCATCAAATTATTCATAAGAAAATGATCTTTCACCTCCTTTCTATTCGAAAAATCAAGTTGACTGAAAAAATTCACATTTGCGACTAGGAAATTATTCTTAAAACGACTGTGTAGTCATAAGCCTCAAAATCGTAGTTTTCCCATGTTACTTGATCAAGAATGAAGCGATTTACACTGACCATGGCATTCAAAAAATAAAAATTGGAATAAAAATTATTTTATTTGTCAAATATTGAAGTGAAGTATTGATGGATCTAGAATGTCATTCTGGATCGAAATAAGTAAAAATATATAGGATGTCCCATTTGACAATCGAAAGTTGGGGTCATTTCAGGTCAAACCGGAAATACGGCAAAGCAAGTAAATATGTCAAAAAATGTAAATTGAACTATAATACACAACCCCCAAATTATGTGTTTCTATCTCCAATAATAAAAAATTATAAAAAGGGGTGAGCCACCTTAGAGAATCATCCGGTATAATCATTGATATATACACCCTTTGGATCTATGGTTGCCCAGCACCACGACATAGAATAAAACAAAGTGGCTTCCCGCTGTCTATC